ATCAAGAAATGGCGGACAACATAGTAAAAGAGCTAAAGCTAGCTATCGGCAAACAAGGTTCTTCACTCGAAAAGTCCATCGATGAACTCAAAAGGTCAGTTGAATATCTTTCGGCAGATTTGCAAGACATCAAAGGGACAATTCAAACTACGGTAAAAAGAGTTGACATCTCAGAAGAGAAGATCCAAATGCTGGAAAATAAAGTCGCCTAATTGGCGCGCTACACACGCCGGTGGAACCTATGCTTACGTGGTTTGCCTGAGCTAGAGGGAGAAGATGTGAGGATGAAAGTGATCGACATTTGCCAAAACATTGCTCCAGGCCATAAAGAAAAGTTTGCCGAAGTGATTGATTCAGTGCACAGGCTTGGGAAGAAGATGCYTGCAACCAAGGCCCAAACGAGGGATATTATAATCCAGTTCTCCATGAAGCACTACCGAGACGCAGTGTGGAAGATGTCAAAAAAGGCGGAATACCTGACACAGAGGAACCTGCGCTTCATGGAGAACCTGACCCTTGAGGATCGTGACAAAAGGAAGCGCCTGTGGCCCATCATCCAAAAGGCAAGGGAGGAGAAGAAGTTAGCTTACTTTGTCGGAGGAAGAGCGTTTGTTGACAATAAGGAAATTTTCTAACAGTTACAATGCTCGTTTCATCCTTGAAAAGGAGAATAGCTCTGTTAATTTACTCGAAGAGGAGTAAATCTCTGTTCTGACTTTGTTTTTKTGTTACTGTTTAACATTTCTACTTTAAAGTTTGTTTCAGTTAATGCTCGAGGCTTAAGAGACACTACTAAACGTAAGGCAATTTTTCTTTATACAAAAAACTTTTGACTCAGACTTTTGCTTGGTTCAGGAATCACATTCTACTAATGAAGACCACAATTTCTGGAAATCACAATGGGGCGAGGACTTGTGGATGTCCCACTCAGCAGGAACTCTAACTCTTAAACACAAATTTAATGGGAAGATCCTCTACACTCAATCTGACTCAAAAGGACACTACA